CTACAAGATACTGCAGAGAAGGCAGAGAAGGCAGAATGCAGATATATTTGAAGGAATTCCATGAAAAAGTAAAAGAATCAAATAAGCAGACATAAGATTAGCCTTATGATCAATTTATAACCTCTTGGACGTCCACAGGGGATGGCCTTCCATCTTGTTTTTCAGGAAATTGGCTTCCAAGTAAGATTTTATCCTCCAGAACAGATGGGATTGATTTGTCATTTATGTTCCCATTTGCAAGATCAATTAAGAACTCCGTTGGGTTCATAGCTATCAGAGGAGAGCAACCAATTGAAGATAAATATAGCATAGCTTCAGAGGCTTTTCCAAAGTACAATGAATTCCTCTGCTCAAGAGAATTAACTTGTCAAACTTATTGAATAGTCTGCTTGATGGTTGATGAATTGTACTCACTACTGTTTTTCCAGCTTACAAAACCCCACACTGATATTCAAGGAAGGGTGTTCTCTAAATTAAAGAAAATAAGAAATGTCGTGGTTTATTACCTTTGCAATATTGTGTATCATTTGAACTATTCTGCTAAGAGTTGTAGTTGAGTCTAGACCAGAGGTTGGTTCATCTAGGAAAAGAAGTGATGGGTTGAGCAGGATTTCATTGCCGATGCTCTGACCATGGTGCTCGGATTATCATCTCCAAGGATGAAATGATTGGCTTTCAATTACTACAATAACAAATGAACTCTAGGTAAGTAAGCACTCTACTTTAAGGATTAGCTCTCATTACGTTTTATATCAAAAGACCGAATGGTGTACCTAGCCTTTGAGAAAATGGGGGTCTACCCACTCAGCTACTCCAACACCTTCACGGCTCTGATGAGACAATCTCCACTTTCACCGAAGAGATGTTGAGGACTAATTTTTGAACTTCGATCTCCTGCATTGGATTCAAGAGCTTCTTCTTTGAAGCCATTGCTCTCCGTAGATGAGGTTATAGAGGCAACCGAGTAGGTTTATCATTTACGGAGGGAAGTAGGGAGAGGGTGACGTTTAACGGCGAACGTTAACGTCTTTCTTATCTTTAAATGATTTTCTACTATCAAATGTTATTTTTGAAACCGGTTACCTACGATAACCCGCGTTCACCGAAATAGAAACTCGATTGTTAATTGTTCCATCTCATTCGATATATCATAGATCTTTCCATTTTTTAGTTATTTAATTGAATAATTAATCATTAAATAGGAAATTGTTTAAATTTTCGAATTTGAGTTTAGTTTTTGAATTTAAATTAATTTCGAAATTAAAAAAAAATTAAAAAATAAATAAATATATAATTTAAATAAAAAATAAAAAATAATTAATTAATATTTTAAAAGTTTTGCATTTGCATCCCAACATTTAGGGTTTCATATTCTAGAGCATACTTCATATAGGTTTATTTAATTGTTAAAATTATTTTGTTAGTTGTAAATGTGTTAGGTTTTCTTTTTATTTTAATTGCTTCTCTTAATTAGTTTGCTTTATGATTTTACGTTTAATTGTTGAATTGCATATTAGAAATAATTGTTCATGCATTGTAATTAGTTGCATTCATTTTGTTTGATTGTTTTAGTTTCGTTAATCCATTTAAGGGCACCCAATTTAAATAAGATAAGGTGGGGATTTCATCACCCTTCCTTGGCCCAAAAATCACCACCCTTCACGTACGGTTTACCCTAAACCCTAATTTAAAATTTGGATAGCAAGATCCTTTAGGGAAGTCTCACACTTGGTTCAAAGGTGTGCTGAATTTTAGGGAAACTTGTGATTACATTCCATAACCGGCAGTTGGTGTCTAAGGAAAGAGGTTAAACGGTTACGCCTAAGCGGGTTTTGTGGTTACTTAATTAGGTCCTTACGAGAGCAAGGGGAGCCTCCCACATCCCCACCTCTTACCTGGCTAAGCAAAGGAAGTGGTGTAACTCCAAGTGAACATAAGATGATTCACATTGGTTGAACCACTAGTTTAGAAAACCCTAGGTCAGTCCATAGGTCGTGTGTGTGAATTGCTTGCATTTTTTTTTAATTTTAAAAATTTGAATTTAAGTTTCAAAAATTTTAATTTCAAATTTAAAAAAAAAGAGAAAAATTAAAAAAAATTAAAAAAAAATAAAATGAATTCAATGGCCGGAGTTTGTGGAATGAGAAACTACTTCCAATCTAAGCCATAAATAGATTGGTACAATGTGTCTCGACAACTAGACAAGATCAATGGGATGGCCCAAAGACTTGACCAAGTCCTTGCATGTCGTCAACAATTTAGCCCATTCCCAATCTTGTCATCCTGTCCAACATGTTCCATCTATGCAAGCCCGGCCCATCATGTTAGTCAGTGCCCAGCGGCGAGCCCAGTCAACTAGTCATTCCAGAGCAAGTACATGTAGCTAACGGATTTTTCAACCCAATGCTAACTCATCCTTTAGTCCATATAACCCTGGGTGGGAAAATCAGCCCAATTTCGCTTATTGGGCCCGAGCCCAAGAACCCACCTTGCCAGATGTGCACTCTCAATGATCTGAAGCCCAGACTCACTGTGAGTACAATAATTACCCTGGGACTCAACCGGCTCAGCCATATCAAATCTCCCGTCAACCTTACCAAACTGATTCACTCGATGATAGGTTTCGGCATCTCCAATAGTTGATCTTAGCTCAGCAACAGTCAATCCTAAGATTAGAGAGCCAAGTAATTCAGCTCATGGAAGCTAACATGTAGTGGGAAAATGATTCAATGCTTAGTCTGCCGGTTGTAAACCCCATAAACGAATCCCTAGGTCTTCCCCAATACCAAGATCTTACAAACTCTAATGTCCCATACTTAGAAAATGCTGAAGAAATCTCATCTCTTCAAAGGGAGGGAAAGTGTAAAGACCTGTATGAGTCTGGAAGTCCTTCTACCTACCTAGAACAAGATTGTTGTACGATAGATGTAAATAGAAACCCTAGAGAGACCAAACTGGTCATAGCGGATGACCCGATGAAGGAAGCTAATGTTTTAACAAATTCTCCACACCCATTACGGTCTTGGCCTACTGTTGAACCTCTCCCTGAGCTAAAGAGTGAACCACCCGTGCCTTCCCTTGAATCTCCTCCGCAACTAGAATTAAAACCCTTGTTGGACTCCCTTCAGTATGTGTTTCTAGGACCTGACCAAACACTACCAGTAGTTATAGCATCCGATTTAACCCCTATACAAGAAGAGAAACTGATTGACGTCTTAAGAGAGTATAGGGATGCCATTGGTTGGTCAGTGGATGACCTGAAAGGGATTAGTCCACCCATTTGTATGCACCATATTTATACGAATGAGGGTTCCAAACCAAGTAGGGAGATGCAAAGACGGTTGAACCTAAATATGAGAGAAGTGATCAAGCAAGAAGTAGTCAAGTGGTTAGATGCGGGTATTATCTACCCAATTTTAGATAGTAGTTGGGTAAGTCCTACACAAGTGGTGCCTAAGAAGGGTGGACTCACCATGGGCACCAGGGATCAAGGTGAAGTGATCCCCACCCAGCTTACCACGAGATGGTGAGTATGCATCGAGTTTAGGAAACTCAACGCAGTCACGAAAAAAGACCACTTTCCTCTACCCTTTATTGACCAGATTCTAGAAAAACATGCAAGACAAAAATATTTCTGCTTCTTAGATGGGTATTCTGGGTATAACCAAGTAGTCGTTTACCTTGAAGACCAAGAAAAAACTACTTTCACCTGTCCATATGGCACGTTTGCTTTCCGAAGAATGTCGTTTGGATTATGTAATGTGCCAGCAACCTTCTAGAGGTGTATGATGGCAATTTTCTTGGAAATGGTAGGTGACTTTCTAGAAATATTTATGGATAATTTCTCTGTCTTCAGGGATTCCTTCGAAACTTGTCTTGAACACTTACGAAAAGTTCTTCAATGATGCATCGAGACAAACTTGGTACTCAGTTTGGAGAAGAGTCACTTCATGGTCCAAGAGGGTATTGTCTTAGGCCACATAGTTTCCAAACGAGGGATCGAGGTAGATAAGGCAAAAATTGACCTAATCTCTAAACTCCCACCTCCTACCTCTGTCAAGCAAATCCGCTCATTCCTCAGACACGTTGGTTTCTATCGTAGGTTCATTAAGGACTTTTCCAAGATCTCTAGGCCTCTGTGCAATCTTTTGGCGAAGGATATCCCATTTAATTTTGACAAGGCTTGTCTTAAGGCTTTCAATTGTCTAAAAGAGGCACTGACCAAAGCCCCAATCCATCAACCTCCCGACTGGTCGTTGCCCTTGGAAATAATGTATGATGCCTCTGACTACGCCATCGGAGCAGTTTTGGGACAAATGGTGAATAAATGTCCTGTGGTAGTATATTATGCTAACCGCACCCTATCCGAGTCTCAATTGAAATACACCACTACCGAGAAAGAATTGTTAACTATAGTGTTTGCCATGGAAAAGATTCATCTGAACCTATTGGGCACCAAAGTTGATGTCTACTCTGATTACTTAACCTTAAAACATTTGTTGTCTAAGAAAGAAGCCAAACCTAGGCTCATCAGATGGATCATTCTTTTGCAAGAATTTGACCTTGAGATTCGGGATAACAGCATTGAATTTTTGTTTTACTACCTGTAGTCCTAGAATAGGCTTTCGGAATTCGACTTGTTTGCTTGACTTTGCAGATGAATTACAGCTAATCGTAAAACATTATGGCAGCACTTGAAAATTTTTATCAATGGTTGAATTGATGGAAGTTTATCCAAAAACTCAACACTTCAGGCTTCATAGCTTGTAATAATTTCAAATTGATAAAAGCAATCCTTCAGATTTCTTTTGTTTGCTACCTCTCTCGTTTATTTTGCGGTTCCTTGAGATAGGCTACTTTCAAGGTAACTTTTCCTGGGGAAGGGAATATCAAGATTAGGGGCCCGTTTGGTGCATTTTTCCGCAAATTATCTTCGGGCTGTCCAGATCTTATGTTAAAAACTCAATGGATCTTTTAACTGTAAGAGCTATAAGAAAATCTTCTCAAAAAGACACGTCAAACGAGACTTAAATTAAACTAGATTTTAAGAGAACAGGGCAATGAAAAGAAAATAAAAAAAAAGATCAGATGGGCATTTCGGTACCTTAACACATTCCATCATCCGACTTAACAACTAGGGGGCATTTGTCACTAACCCCATAATACAAGTGAAGTGGGTCTTTGTAATTTACCCAATAATGTATTCTATGTGAACTCCAACCAATCACTAGTCTTATATTTCCCAAAAAAAACTTAGAAGAAAGGAGAGGAGATCTCTTGGTTTGTGAACTCTAAATTTGCTCTACAAATGCGTACAAATCCTACAAATCCTTCATACTAAACCTTCAATGCTGCCTGAAACGTGTTAAATAAAGACTGAGTGACTGATCAATCTGTCGGTTTTTGTAAGTCGGACGGTGGGGCCCGGCTAACAAACCTATGCCAGAACCAATGCTGTTCCCAGACCTTGTGCATGGACTCAAGCGGCACTCCTTTGGTCTCAGGAAGGAAGAGAGCAACAAAAATTGTCATCACAGTGATCCATCCGGCGTAGAATAAAAATGTGCCATACTTGAAGTGGCATAGCATAGTCAGGAATGTCTGAGATAGAATGAAGGTCGTCACGAAGTTGACGGCAACACTTATACTCTGACCGGCGGGACGTATTCTCATTGGAAATATTTCGCTGGGTATGAGCCAGCTAAGAGGACCCCATGACCACCCAAATGCAGCCGCGTAGATACACATGAGCACCAGTACCAAAATGGAGTAGCCTTTGGACGTGGATTCATTTGCAGAAACCCCCAACGTGGCTCCTATTACGCAAGCAATGGCCACCTTCACCAAGAACACACCATATAAAATATAAAATGCCTACTCTGAAAAGAGATAAAGTACTACTGTTTCATATAATATACTTTTGCTATAATTTATATATAGTCCATTTCTTGTTGGGTCCCTTCTCTTGGTCAGATTTGGGTTGCCATGGATATGGGCTGAGGTGAATTGATTCTGAGTCCAGAACCGAACTAGAGTGGATATTTCGTTATTTCTGTAGTCCGGTTGCTTCATCACCAGCCAACCAAAACTGGACTGGGCTTTTTTTAAGGGTAGATACCATATTTGATGACTTCCATCTTGCAAGGTCCATTATCGAAAGATGGGCTTATGTAAATTTAGCTCTAAGAGCTGGACATGCAGCTTGGCTTGGGCTGGGCTCAGCTATGTCGGGCAAATACGAATTTGAGATTTGGTCCTCACAGAGCGTTTCTCACACCGACATCACAGTCATATCTCACTGTGCATTGTCATCATCTCCAATGAATAATTTATAAGTATGGAAGATGTTCCTGATGTATGACTAAAACATGCTCAGTATGCCCCTCACACCAAGTCACCAGCCTCTTGGAAACATCTCCCAGAATGATAAAATCAAGTACCGTAAATGTTCTCGTGCGAGTCACGCTCTGTAGCAATTCCAAATTTGTTAAATTGTTAACTGTAGGATGCTGGACCAATCGCAATACACCACATTGGCCTGATATGTGGGTTCCAGATGCTGGGAGCTGATGTGGTGTATTGTGTTTGGCCAAGTAATACAAAAAGAGGGATAGATGATTCATCCTCGGTGTCAATAGGATTGCCAGCTTCCCCTATTAGTGAGAAACTGTAATTGGAGTCTAGACTGGCTGAGAAACAAAATCGTGCACAGTGAGCTAGGCAACCTATCATAAGTAAGCATGTAAGTGTTCCACACACAGAAGGTATAAGGTATAGGTCCCACATGGCCCAGCCTGCTGTGCATGATTTTGTCACGGCCGAGGACCCCATCGGCTCCCCTGTAATTGATCCAACATATCTTATTTAACAAAGTACCCCCACTGACCTGGCAGACGACCATCTGGATCCCGCCCTCCATGAACAAAATTTTTCTACCATACCGATCAACTATGAAGGTGGATACAAGGATTGAGGTGAGATTGACGGAGCCTAGAATGATGGCTGATAAGAGAGCAGAGTCGCTGCCAAAGCCAACCGATTGAAAGAGGACAGGCGCATAAAACGCAATAATATTAATTCCCGTCAGCTGTTGAAAGAAAGGTATGGCCACCGCCATGACGAGGTGGGGCCGGTACTGCCTCTCAAAGATGGACTTGAATGGATCTTCGTTTACAGCACTTGTGGCTTCGCTTGCCTTCACAAGATCGTTTAGTTCGGCTTCAATGTCCGACTCCACTCCTCGGATTCGAAGCAGTGATCTCCTGGCTTCTTCGAGTTTGCCACGCTGCACAAGGCTACTTGGGGTGTCGGATATGAGGAGGGCACATAGCCCCATGATTATGGCAGGTGCAGCTGCAAGGCCAAGGGAGAGGCGCCAGCCCCAGTAGAGCTTGGCGGAGAAGAAGTTGAAGACATAGGCTGACAGGACGCCAATGCCTATGAACAACTGGAAGCCTGTGTTGAATGCTCCACGCCATTTTGATGGTGCCGTTTCAGATAGGTGGAGTAACCTTCATTTGGACATTAGCCATATAAAAGTCAACAACATGAACAGATTTCATGAGGCCTTTGGCCCAGCAAAGGACAACATCATCCCCACAAGAATGAAAATTGGGTCTCATCTAATTGATAGTTTATATGTTTTTTAAATTTTACATTGATAGTTCATGTGCTTTTTTATGTGTCTTAATCAAATAATTGAAAATTTTATTGTTTATTTCACTTATTTATTACTTTTAAATCCAACCATGTGTTTTTTACATGTCTTAATCAAATAATTAAAAATTTTATTGTTTATTTCACTTATTTATTATTTTTAAATCCAATCTGTCCCTATCTTTGCATGCACTTGAATGTAGGAGGGTTTTGCATTTCTATATATCGAAAGGGTTTGAGATTTTCAAAAACCATCCTGCTACGGGTTTTGGGGCACGTACAGATTAAGACTTAAGAGGTTTAGAAAAGTGAGTAGGATTTAGAATTCATAAAACCCACCTCATTGCCATTTCTATGGACCGATTTCATGTGGGCTTTATCCCAGTAAATGACAAGACCATCCCCACATGAATCAATTGGGTCTAATCTAAAGCCCATTGAGAAAGTCAGCTGGCCAATTGGGTCTAAGACTATAACATATACATGCCGAGGGGAAGACACCAGGTTTGAATTGAAGCATGTTAGGACAGACGGGCCCATTGATATCCAAACAAGACAATTCAAGATCCCACTTACCTGGTTAGTAAAGCCAACACCAAAACCGAGCAAGATGCGGCCCAAAATCAGCATTTCGACATTGAAGGCAGCACCATTGATGGCTGCACCTACTAAGAAGGTAAAACCTCCTAATACCATGATGGATTTGTGACCAATGGCTCTGGTGAGGCGGCCAGCAAAGAGAGATGCGACCAGACCAGCTATGTACAATGAAGATGTAAATGCTGTGAGAACCTGGCTATCATAAATGCAGTATGTATTATTCTTGGCATTTTCGATCCTCCTTAGTATTGAAGGAAAGAACTTTTTTAGAAACGGTACCATCGTCGTCACACCCCCTGGAATCAATGCAAATGCAAACAGAGGTTAGTGGAGAGGAATGAAGAAATGTGATATTGATGATGCAAGTCGGGCAAGGTTAGATCAGGTTTAGGTCAACCCTAAATCCAATCCGAGTTGTTGAGTTAAACCACCCAATTCTATCTCTAACCCTGATTCAACTTGATTTTTTCAGGTCGGTCCTGTTTCTTTACTTCACTTTGCTATAATTAGGGGTGCAACTTGGGCAGGCTTAACCCCTGCAATTTTGCATCAGCTGGTTTTGGATTTTTGTCCTCAGGCTGAGTCTGGACCCAAAAGTTTGGGCTTTCTTATTTTATTGGGCTGGGCTCGGGTCTAACCCTTAGGTAACCCGAATCTGACCCGACTTTATCCAAATCTGAGTCCAGCCCACATCTTAGATGCATATAAGCATATATAGACATATTTTGCATGCATATATTCTTTTTGTAAAGCATGCATATATGCATGCAAGCATGCATATGCACATACATTTACATCAGTTTTAATCTGGGCTGATTGATGAACCTGAGCACAACCAAGTGCATCAAATTTTAGTGTAGTAGTTTGGGCTTCTGTTGGATAGTTCAGGATTCACCTTTTACTTAGTCCAGGCTCAGGCCTTGTGTCAAATTCTTAAGGTTGGGCTTGGGGTGAGCATAAACCTAGCCCAGTCTGTACCAGCTTACACCCCTAGCTAAAATGTAGGGCTATTAATGGGTTGGGTCTGTGTTAGGGACAGGGTGTCATAGTTCGGAACCGATTATTAAGTGAGACAAAATCAAAGACCCAGAACCATCCTAATTAATAATCAGAATAATCGGGTCTGATCCAATTAACCCAATTATACTGATATATATTATTATTTATTTAAATAATAAATTAAAACATAATTTTTCATAATGTAATCTTAACAAAATGACAGTAAAATAGTAAAGGACAAATATCTTAAACTACCTTATGATTTAGTTAATTGACTAAATATACCCCTATTGTTTGACTATAATTTAACATTACCCCTACTGTTACAAAAAATCACCATTGCCGTTCAATATTGATGGAAGGGCTGAAATCTCAATTTTACCCTTCCGTTAAATCTCCTCTATCTCTTTCATTCTCTCTCTTCACTTCCGCACAACAAAGTCACCTTCGCCACTGCTGCGTCCCTTCTTCCCCTTTGTTCTCTCTCTCTCTCTCTCTGTCTCTCTCTCTACCAACACACTTTGTTCTCTAACCCCTTCAAATCCCACCCAAGAGGATCGAAGGTTGCAGAAACAAAAATGGAGAGGTCTAAGGAAGGAAGACTCTTGAAGAAGAGCCAACACTACCCGGATATGCTTGGAGGGAGATGGTGGTGGAAAAGGCTTCTTAAAGAGCCTCTTTGGCGTAGAATTAGAGCTCGATGCAAGAGATTTCTTAGAGAGCAAATAATGAGCAGGACCTAAGCCGTAAAAAGGGGAAAAAAAAGAGATTTTTTTCCTACTTCTACCTTTGCTTTTTGCCACTGTCGTTGTTGTTGGTGGCAATGATTGCTGCTTTCTACTTTCTGCAAATTAGAGCTCTGCTTGCTACTTTTGCCTCTACTTTATCATTGCCCCCATTAACAGAATTCTCAGAAGGCTTAAGGGTTTTCTTGCAATCGCTCCTCTTCTCTGTTGGCATAAAGATCAAGTCTTGGGGTGGGTTTCGAAGTGTAGAGCCCCATTTCCTCTACCTAAACCCAAATATAACACATCTCTCCCCAAATCAAACCAGTTCAATCAAGGACCTCTCTCTCTCTCTCCTACTCTCAACTTTTTCTCTTAGAGAGAGAGAGAGGAAGAAGGAGATGGTGAGAAAAGAGTAGAATGAACGATGAAGAAGAGATCCGGGGTTAAGATCATGGAGAAGAGAAGTGATCTCATCAAGGGTTTACAAAGATGAAGAAAATGAAAGAGGGCTAAGAGAATATCTTAGCGGGAGAAGATTTTTCCAACTCGGACATGATCTTCACGATTTCTTCTCTGCCATTGTCAATCTCTCTAATGGTTCCATCTATAATGGTTTCTATGAGAGCTGTTGTTGTTCTTCTATCTAACACAAACAAACAGAGGGAAGAGAGGTTAGAGGAGGGTGTCTTGTTTTAGAAAGAGAAGAAGGAGAAAAGGAAGAAAGAGAATGAAAGAGGGAAGACAAGGAGAGAGAGGTCAGAGGAGGAAGGGGGGTGCTGGAAATGCGGGTTGAGAGGAAGGGGACAAGGGTAATATTGGGTTTTAAAAAAATTAAATGTCATGTAGTGTCATGAGCCGAGTTCTATTAGGCTCAAGCTCGGCTCATTTATTAATCGAGTCTGTAAATTGGGCTCGAGCTCGATTGAAACCGAGCCGAACTGAGCTTTTCACGAACCGAGCTCGGCTCGTGGCCACCCCTACATAAGGGTAGTTTTAAGAAATTTGGGCAATAGTAAATTATGTATATATTAATAAATGAAGTGTTTTAACTAAAATTATCTTATAATATATATCTGAAATTATCCTTTGAAACATGAAATATAATAAAAATTATAAAAAACTAAGCAACCTCTATATACTATTAAAAAAATAATCAATTCGAATCTCAATCAAATTGGAACTAAAACCAAGCCATTTATTAATGAAATAAAATCTCAGAACCAATATATTCGATTCTGTTCGATTGGACAGTTGCCCACCCATTGGCATCCCTTTTAAAATGATCGTATTTATTGTACTCAAAGTTTTTTTTCGTGGTGGAATATTGTACTCAAGAATGGGTGAATTAAGGTTTTATTATTACATGCAGAAGGATGATTAGGGATGCAAACAGATTGGACCGGATTAGAATCAAGGTATAAGATCCGATTGGATCTGATAGGACTTGATCTAAATTCGAATCTTATTAGATCTTCGGATCTGATTTGATCCGACTTGTTTTTTTAAAATTAATGAAATATTAAAAGAAAAAATAAAATATACTAATTTAAATAAAGAAAAAACAAAAAATACAAATATATTTTAATTATTTTATCATATATACATGTTTTTATAAAAAATAAATAATATAACAAATTTATAAAAATATAATATAAATAATATATTTATAAATATATAAATAATATATATTATATATTTATATTTATAAATATATAACACACCGGATCAAATCTTCTCAGATCAAATAAGAGTGATCTAAATCTGATCCAATTTCTAATCGGATATCCAAAGATCCCACCAGGGATGATCTGAATTCGATCAAATAAGATCGGACCTTGGATCGAATCATCACCATTTGCACCCCTAAGGATGATATTATGGTACTTAACGGATGTTATACTTGTATCGGACTAAAAATTTTTGCCTAAAAAATTGACGATACTCAGTAATTTAATAACCTGTTTGCTTCCTTAAAATATTATTTGGTATTAGAAATTGACCACACTGTAACTAAAAGACCCACAAAATGACAGATTGATATTACTGTTTAATATTAGGAGTTTGTTAATACTTTCACAAAAATCGAAAGAAATCTGATAAATAAGAACCCCCATGAATTTTGATGAAAACATGTTTGACTCTTCTAAAATATCATTTTCATTATTAGCATTAAAATTTAGAAATGGACCACACTATAATTAAAGACCCCATAATGGAATGATACTGAAAGAACTTTCACTAATACGAACCTCGAGAATTTTGACTTTTGATTAATACATGTTCATTCGTTACCGCCTCTATGATACCGATTACTGAATGATAATAGGTATCAATTCTATTTTAGGGGTTGTTTGGCAAGTTTTTCTAAGTAGATTTTTCAATAATCTAATAGATAAGAAAGACGTTCTGAGTTTTGGAATTTTGTTTCTAAAGATCAAGACCATTTAATTCACGTCATGGTCTTCCGAGTTATTAAAAACAGCTAAAAAACCTATTTTTAACACGAAAAGACCAAAAATTTTCATTTAAAGCTTTTTGGTCTTTTTGTGCACTCGTCTTCACGTAATCACGTTTTTTTGGTGTTTTTTTGTTTTTTTTGGTAGAGGCGTTTTTTGGTGTATAAAATATATATATATATATTAGTCTTTTCAACCTTTCCGACGCCAGAAGACGTACTGGAAAGATGCGCCAAACATCACCTAACTTTCTAACTACCAAAAGGTCTAGTGGTCCTAACAGTTCTACCATTTGCTATTCTTTTATAGTGGCATATGATAATATGAGCTGTACATCACCAGCTAGGCAGCTAATATAAAAAAAAGGAGAAAGAGAAACCTCGACCTTAGATTTTTTACTAAAAGAGTCCAAGTTTTGAATTATTGGAAGATCAACCCGTGTGATAGCTCTGGTTATATTATTATTAGGAATATCATCGGCTTTCAACCGTTTGATTGGATCATGACCAATGGTTTGAAAATCAACGAGGCCCATTTTAGTGTCCGGGTCAGCGGTTCAACCGTTCCATTCCATAATTTGGAAACACTCAGCCAAAGTCCAAAACCTTTCCAAAAGGAAGACTTTGTTAAAAAAAGTAATGTAAGTGAACTATTCTCTATTTATTATGGAGGCTCTTTTTTTATTATTATTATTATGGAGGATTAACTACAACAACAAAAACAAAAATCAGTAACGAAGCTACTGATTGAGGAAGCGCTTATGAAGGATTAATTTTCTGGGTAACGATTGAGGAAGCGCTTCGGAAGCAATGGCGTTGGCTAACCAGTTGGCTCCTCTCGGGCAGTTGGGATATAACAAATCTGGACCTCTATGGATTGAGAACTTTTATTTGCTAGCGAAAGGTTTACGATCAATTTGACTAATAAATCAACAGTCTGGAGAATTTTTATTTTAAGATCTGGTTCACGGCTCCAAATGGTCCAACTGTCCAACCAGGACGGTCTCAAAGAACTTTCAGGTATTTGTGCATAATTCCTGTAGTTCACTGCTGGACAAAAGACTGATAGTCCTTCTCCACCTAATTCCCAGAGAAATTAAACTATTTCACGAAGAAACTTTTCAATTTTCTTTTCTAACATTGCAAAGTAGGCTACGATTCAAAATGTTGTTTTGAAAATTAAGTAAATCTATCTCCTTACAATGATGAATGATGAATCTCCCTCAAAATTCGTCTTTTGAAGTACAGAAAGGAGGATGATAGATCATAGATCCACCGTGTGGGTGCTCTTCTGCCTAACTAGAACTCTGAAACAGAGAGAGACGAAGGAAAGAAAACGCACCTGAAATCCCAATATCGTACCCAAAGATCAAGCCACCTGAAGCAGCAACGATGCAAGTTATCACCACTGATGCAGTCAGACGAGCATTAACACCGTAGCCATTACTGTCAACGGTGAAACCTCCTCCGGTCATCTTCTCTATCTCGCTCTCTCTCACTGTCTCACCACCGTACGTCCAAAAGCCGCCCGAGAACGACGATAAAATTAAGAGTCCGATGAAAAGACTCCTAATCGCATCTCAGTCAGTCTCAACTCGTACTATATAGTGTTAGTGTGCAAACTGCAAAGTGGATGATCTGGTTGTCTGATTTATCTGAATTGACTATCTCTGGTATGATCATTCATTTTTTTTTTCTGATTTTATGAACTGCAAAACACATGCCATCTGCCCTCATTTTTCTGATTTTAAGCGATTTCCACACATTGACATGATTTAAAAAACAAAACTAATTCCCACCCCACCAACATCATCTTTTTGTTGTTTTATTAATGTTGATTTATGTGGTGTTGCTCCCCCAGTCTTTAACTTAACCTAACTGAGATGAGAAAGTTGGACCTCGTGATCAACTACCAGTCCTAGCTTGTAGCAGTAGCAATTATTTCCTACGCTTCCTACATCAACTCATTAATGCGTCCAACCGTCAAACTCAGTTAAGGGTCCAAACCTAGAGATTTCGAAGTCCATCACAGTCTGGGCCTATCCACCAATCAAACTTTTGATTTTACAAGTACGGATAATTAAAGGAGTAAATTGCACGATTTTCAGCCGGTCTGGCCTGGTACGATGGTTTACGGGCCCAACATGGTACGACTGTATGGTTGTGCCAGGCCTAGAGTTTCATGTCTGCAGGCCGGGCTAATATAGTATTGCTCACGGCTCGTGTGACTGCACGGCTTATATATATATAAATTATAATTATATAATAATAACATATTAATAAAATAAATAGTTATTTTTTAATTTTATTATATTATTTTATTTAATTATATATATAAATAATTGTATACATTAATTTTTTAAATAAATAACTATAATCCGGTCCACGGACCAATTCAGCCTGTGGCACAGCACGACACGGCCCGTTTTACATCTCTTCGCATTTCTTTAACTAATTTCTTACAAGTTATGCCTTTTTATAAAAGGTGATTCAAATCAATCAATCGGAATATCTAGCTATTTGAGATCATGATGAGCTTTGAGTTTTAATTCTAACTGGATTTCAATTCAAAAGCTTATATATTTGAGATGCTCAGGTGCTTTTACATAAGATTCGAAGTCATTCATTAGATTTTTTTTGGCAATCTATTGGATAAATTTAGTTATATGTATAGACCTATGAAGTATACTTTGGCATTTCATCTGTTGGCTCACAAAACAAACATTCTTGGTGATGTTTGTTTCTTGTGGCATGAGGAGCAAGACTGGTTAACTACTTTTGTATATATTTGTTCTAATTAAAGAATAGTTTAATTATTAAAAAAAATAGAAAGTAAGCAATCACATCTTAAGCTGATAAAATTTAGGGTGAAACTTGGGTAGGCCAAATCCATGATTTTGCAAGTTAGGCATGAGTTTTGGGGCTTTTGGCTAGGCCTAGGCCAAAAAGCTCGAGCCTGACTTCAATTCAGGTTAGGCATGGGTTCAGGCTTCAAGTAGTCCGAATTTGGCTTGACTTAGTTCAAGCCTAACCCAACATATTATTATGATATACACATCTACATATTTGTATATTGTGTTAAATTTTACATATTTCTAATACACACGTGTGTGTGTGCACACGCGCACAAACACACACACAAGGCCCCAGGCGTATATGGATTTTCAAATTCATTCTTCCAAAGATATTGGGATATTATTAGCCCTAGCCTAACTCAAGTAAAAGAGTTTTTTTATTATGGGATTTTAAGGAAAGAGTTAAACAAAACATTTATAGCCCTTATTCCCAAATGTAAAAACCCAGAGGCTACAGCTAAATTCAGACCCATAAATATGTACAAGATAAGAGCTAAGATACCGGTAAATAGATTGAAGCCCACTCTACCAAAAATTATAAGGCTTTTGTCCCTAGTAGAATGATATTTGACAATGTACTCATCTCTCATGAAATGTTCCAAGCATAAAGAGAATTTCATGACCATCAAGCTAGATATGAGCAAAGATTATGATAGAATACAATGGAGTTTTGTTTAATCTGTTATGGAAAAGATGGGCTTTGGTTCTATTTTTATTGGTTGGGTTTGGCAATGCATTTCATATGTGTCCTATCAGGTCCTAGTTAATGGCAGTCCAAGTAAATGCTTCTTTCCCTCCAAAGGCTTAAGACAGGTTGACCCCCTACCACCCTACTTATTCTTATTATACTCGAAAGTTCTCTCCCTTGCTTTCCAAAATTTGCATTCCTCATGTTCTATTTCTAGAATTAAGATTAACTTCCATTGCTTGGCTATTACTCACTTGTTCTTTGTAGATGACTCATACATTTTCTTAAAAGCAAGCCTTGGAGAAGGAGTGATTCTAGAGGTGTTGAAGCAATATGAGCAGGCCTTAGACCAAAAGGCGAACATTCCAAATCTGAAGTCCTATTTAGCTCAAAGTTGTACCTAAATTCTAGAAAATAATGTCCAGAGTCATGGGAATTAAATCAGTGAACAAAATTTTGTGTGGTAGAATGAACTTCAATTATGGTAGCTAAAAATATGCTTTCTGTCATCTACTGGGAAGGAAGTCATGAGAAAATCAGTTCTCAATTTTGTTCTAATCTATGCTGTCATACTTCTGATTCCAAAAAGCATTTTTAAGTAGATGGCCGCAACCCAAAGGAAATTCTTAAGGGGAGTTTCAAATTCCCAAAGAAAAATCTGTTGGATTAGCTTGCAGAAGGTTTGCAAAAGTAAATTTAATGGGGGATTGGGATTAAAGGATCCCTAAGCCTTTAATCTAGTCCTTCTGGATAAGTTGGCTCAAAGATTCTATTCTAACAGACAAAGATTCTGAATGTAAGTGATAGAGAGAAAGTACCTTCGGTGAGAGAATTTTTGGACTATTAAACCTCCCTCAAATTGCTTTGGGGTTTCAAAAGCCTACTAGCAGGGAGAGACATTGTTAAGGAAGAAGTTTGCTAGAGAACTGCAAAAGGGGAGAACATTGATCTATGGGATGATCCCTGACTGCTAGGGTTTCTATCCTCCAAACCTTTGGGTCCTAGATTCAATTTGGATCTAGTAAAGTGGGTGGGTGACTTAATTAACTAGCAATCCCATTAAAGGAATATCACAAAAATCTTTGATCTATTTGACCTAGGAACTACTTCTCACATTTGTGCATTGAACCTTCCCGCTTCTATATGTGAAGATAAATTAATCTAGACCCCATATTCAAAAGATCGATTTTCTATAATGTCTGCATATCATGTGGCTCTGAATACAATATCTCCTCTTGAAGGAAAAACCATCTCACATTCCTTAACTGTTGTCCAATGGAAAAGAACTTAGAATTTAAAAATCCCCCCAAAATTAAAACATTTTATTTGGAAATGTTACTTAAATAGAATTATTAAACAAGTTTTATCCAAAAGAGGTATGAGGATCGATAATGCTAGCCCATTGTGTAAGGAATCTAATTAAAGTATTATGCATGTCATCTTCTTCTATGATCATGCTAGGGCTCCTTGGTTTGGGTGCAAACTGAACCTCATATTGATTGATAGAATGTTAACAAAATAGAATAACAAAAAAAACTAAATGATACATGTAGAGCCCATTCCCATGAACACCTCTTCTTCATCTTCTTGCTTTTGATTTCAAACCAAGTAGAATGTTCCCAAAGTTAGGATGATCAGTTATTAGTCCAGTCTCTTGTTTGTATACGTAAACTACACTTTTCTCCTTATGGATTCTCGAACATTAACTGATGATTTGTAGTATTTTGCAAAAGTTTCTTGTATTTTTCAAAAGAGCTTCTCACATACCCTAGTACTAGACTAGAGAGGCTAGAGTTAATTCTCCTTCTTTCACTATGCTCTCCCATTTGTCCCAATAATGGTTTAGTGAGTAAGAGTAGAACGGATGGGGGTTCTTTTCTTTTAGAATATAGCTAAACGGAGAGACCYTATCAACCTATTTAATAGGTAGTTCCCCCCATTAAAGAACTCCTATTATAATAGCTTAGAAAAATCAACCACCTCCCCTACTAGTTAAACCACTCTCCACTTATCCTCATCTACCTAAATCTAATTTTAAATTTAAAAATAGGATAAAGATAAGTCAATGAAAGATTTTARGGCCTTATGGTTTTCACTTAACCAAATGAGAGTTTTTATAGGGAATCCCCATGACCACAACGATTGCCCATGAATTTATGGGCCCAACACTCTAACAATTTCCTACTTGGCCCGTGTGTGGTCAACAATGGAAGGACGCAACTTGATAGAGCTCATGGTGATTTTCAAACACACTTAGGTAATTACTTATGTAAACTCAGATTATGGTAGTCTCTCCTAAAAGTGGAGATTCCATCCATGCATCATGACGATTACACTTGTAACCCTCAATGTAGTGGATATATGTATACCGATCCTAGTTTTGTGCTTGTGTCTGTCTATAATAATGTGCATGCATTAGACAGTTGTGGATTGCAAGAATGGGAGAATCAATTATTGACACATGTCATCATGTTGAGTTTGTAAAAGAACTAGCAATTCCCATGTTTTTAACATGGCTCATAAACACATTAGGGGACAACCCCTTAGTCATCCAATCCACAATCATAAGTTCAGTTCTTATATGCTCAATGATGATTTTCCATTCTTGCACTTTGTCCCTCACTACTAAGTATTTTAAGTCAATATATTTACTTTGACTAATATTCTTGTTGTTCTCTGAAAATAACACACCTGCAGAATTATCACAGAACAACTTTATYAGTTTATCCACATAGTCGAGCACTAATAGGGATGCTCATGGTTCGGTTAATTATCCGAACCGTGAGTACATTTTTTGAATCGAATCGAACTGTTCATTTTTTAATTATCTGAACCAAAACCGAACCGATGCAACATGTTAACCAGTCAGCTAGTTAACCGATGGACCGGTTAACCGCAGTTCAGTTTTTCGGTTTTTTTAATACACTTGAAATAAAAAAAAAACGGAAAGCATTGAAGAATTTCCTAAATTTTTCATTAAGCATTTCTATTAACAGAAATTGTCAAGGACTAAAATTTGATCTTACTTGGTTTTTCAAAAATGTCTGTGCTATATTTTTATTTCCTTTCAGGAATATTTCATTAAAATCTTGTATGGGGTAGAGTGGAGAGGTAAGTGATGTTTTGGAGTATAGAAGCCTAGAAGGGGGTGATAAGATGAGAGATGTTTCATTTAACGAAAAGTTCAAGGGAGGGACTGATACCACAATGAGATTAGGCACATGGGTGTTTAGATGAGTATGGGTTATGGAGATGGGAGTTTTTGTTTCTG